GTGGCCGACTCCATGAGAAAGGTGCATATAGAGTGTGTCTGGTTGACTGAGGAGTTTTATAGGCTCTCATTGAAATATGGACCCTTCAACGGAGATAAAGCCGAGGAAGTCATCATCGTCCTAAGAATAGGCAGGTATGACCGCCTAGAGGTAGAGGCGGAGTCTTGGGACGCCATAGTTAGCCGGGAGGCGGCGGCTGCACCCTCCTAAGTAGACGACGTTTTTAAACTATTTGAGGTACTGTGGTTCGACTGAATGAGGCCAAGGGATCGAACACAGCGAAAAAGCCTGAGTATGGAGGGTGCTTGTGAGTAAGGTGTAACATAAGAAAGGGAGTGTGTACATTAGGCCGTAGATGGTGCATAAGGATCGAAACAAGGGGGAAGTGACAACAACTAGAAAATGGGGGTCGGGTAGAATTGAACATGTATGAGTTGGGGATAGCAGCAAAAACCAGTGTACGATAAGTAGTGAGGGTTGAAAGACTAAAATACGAAAAGCATGGAATCTCGGTGGGTGCAGCAATCGGGCTTAGAAAGCAGGAAAGGAGACATTGCGAGATGACCCGACAAATGACGTTCTGGGGGGATAGACCTCGTGGGATCCTGCCACCAAGAATATCAGAGGGCAGGGTTGAAATAAGCCTGCCGGCAAGAAATACGGTAGGCAATCCGGTAATGGACTGGGTGGGGGTAAAGTTGGTGGAAGATACAGTGTACCTAGTAGTGAAGCTGGAATGGCGGGCAAGAGGGGAGTTCGGGGGCGTAGACTTGAACCGCCCAGGGCGTGTACACTCGACGGGATCCTTACACCTGTCGGAAGAGGGATGGCGGACCTTTGGGATTGCTTTGGCTTCCGGGGATGACCCCGTGCGAATGTTCGAAGGGGCATGACAAATAACCTGGCGAGAAGGGTTTGAGTTTGCAGACCCAGAACAAGATGACGTAACAGCGGAGGTAAAAGTCACTGCGGCAGGGGTTTTCGAGCTCCCAAATGAGGTCGTACGGATGAGTCTACCACCCTTCCTGCTAAGACAAGTGGGAGGCATAGAACGAGTGGAGCAGGCGGTGACTGTCATAGCTAGGCTAAATTTTGACGAAGCATTAATGTATCGAGAATATTATCGGGTCTTTCTAGAGATGGGGCATTTCGGGGACGAACAAGGGCGCGAGGTGCTTTGTATTCTAAGAGCAGCAGTAAATGCTAGGCCAGGAGTTCCCAAAATAAGTGATGAGACGATGTGGAGAGTCATCCGGCGAGAGGTAGGTCAGGGCGCGACCTACATAGATGATCTCTACCGACTGTACGAACAGCAAGAGGAGGCTACTGCTCTTGGGGGTATAGAGGGATAGTTGGGACTAGGAAAGAGAAATGAAAACACGAAGGGCAAGGGAGACAGTAGGTGGGCGGATTCTGAAGATTGGTTGTAACCCTTTCTATGTGGACTATGCAGGAAATCACCCAGTTAACAATGGCAGCAAGACGTGAGCGAGTGGAACGCCAGTCCCGTGTGCGAATGGAACGCCAGCCCCGGTACCCCGGATCGCCGTGGAACAACGGTGGACGATGGGAAGTATCCCTCCCGTCGAGTTCTACCTATCAGGGGTTCGACGTAGGATGGCGGGCCGTGACTTTGGGAAGGGACGCCGCCTTCATGTTGATAGAATGTCGGTGGACAGGAATGAGACTCAACCGAGGACCCGGAGATGATCTGTTCTCCAATCTGGAGGTTACCGGGGCCATGTATCTGTCTGAGATCGGCTGGCATTCGTTGGGGGTAGAGATAGCCCAAGGTCACGAGCTGGCACCGGTCTTTCAAAGGGTCCCCCGGACGTTGACCCGGATAGGACATTCGGTCAGGGGAAGAAGGAACGTGGGCTTGCTAACCCGGGTGGAGATGGGAGGTTGGAGGGAGTTCAGGGCACCAACCACACCGCTGAGGTGCCGGGTAATGTGGGCAGACCACTTTTCCGCGCAAAGCGAAGGGGGGCAGAAGGACAGAGAGTCAATAAATCCGGATGGTACCAAAGAGAACCGGAAGGAAATCTTCACAGGAGAAAGCTCGGGGAAAGTCGGGGGAAGCAGGCAAGGGACCCAGGGGACCAAGGAAGGCAGAAATAAGGATAGGACAAACCCCCGAAACTCGGAAGGAGCCATGCCTAAGAAAGTAAGGGTCACGGACACAAGGCGAAAACTAGCCGAGATAGACAAGAGGACCGCGGAATACAAGGCAAGACTGATTGAGGAAATGATGACTGGGAACGAAGAAGGTCCTCTGCAGGAGGAACCCCGGGACGAACGGAAAGCCAGCCAAGGTGGGACTGGACAAGGGGATAAAGGTAGTGACCATGGGGGAACGCCGAGCAAGAGAAGGAAAGAGGGAGAGAACTCTCTGGGGATGGAAGCAGAAAAGGTAACGACTCCGCCAGCCATTGATAGTAGGGCTAGCCGCCTGCCGATCACGCCAGCAGTAGCGCGAGGATGCGAAGGACTTTGGAGCCTTAGGAAAAGAGTGTTAGGATGGTTTGACCCGGAAGGAACTATGAAAACCAGGGAGGGACAAAAGGACGGCAAGGAGAGCCCGGATAACAGTGTGGCAGGCGAGGCCAGCAGCTCCGAGGGCGGCCTTAAGAAGATAGTGTCGTCCCTCGCTCGAGCACTAAACAAAAATCAAGGCTATCTGGCAGACGCCAAGAAAAAGCTGACTTTCGATGGAGCAAACATCACGGAGTTCCTGATCGACTACGAGAACCTAGCTGCGTTACTAAAGTGGACCGAGGAGGAAAAGATGGACCACCTAGGACAACATGTGTCGTTAAGCCTAGGACGGGACATAATGGTCATTGTAGCCGCAAGCCGGTCTTGGAAGGAGACCCGGGATGTGATGATGAGGAAGTACCTAGCGGCGGAGAAAATGGCAACGGAGGCCGACCTAGCGGTCGTTCAGAGGAAGAACTTTGCAACGTACAATGATTTCCTACGGGAATTTACTCTGGTAGCACTAAGGATCCCCGGGGTCACGGACCGGATAATGAGCAAATATTTCCTCGGGCAGTTCTTCGAGTTTGACAAAGACAAGATCCTGTCAGCCTACCAACAGACGAGCAAGTTTGTAAACACGCGGGATGTTGATTTTAACACAGTGACGGATTTGGCTGAGAAAACGGTAGTAACGACGACGTTGACCTTGCTCAAGGAAGGAGAGATCATAGATCTGACCGGTAGGACGGGCGACAAGGTAAAGAAGGGGATTGAAAGTCTACATGAACGGGTGCACGGGGTCGACAATAAGATTGAAAGGATGGAAGGCGCGCTAATGGTTATGCAAGCACAAGTATCCCGACCTGCCCTCCCTCCCCAAAAAGCTGTGGTCCCGCCAGGTGTAGCAAACCGGGGATTTAGACGGAGAGATCCTGCTAACGAGCAATGCAAGTACTGCACCGCGATAGGAAATTATGTGCGCGCATGCCCAAAGCTCAACCATTATATTCTGAAAAGAAGGTGTACCAGGTCGTTAAAGGGGGAGATATTTGGACCACAAGGAGAACGGGTGAACTGTAACTCACCAGGAGGGATGCGGCGAGTCGTTATCATGCTCAACGGTATAGAAATAACAGTCGTAGAAGCCGAACCGGTAGGCGAGATCATCTGGGATCAGCTCCGCGGGTGCGGGCCGCAGACCAACTTTACTTTGGAAAGCGACGGACGTGATAGGGTGAACGCAACCACTCGACTGGGAACGGCCGGGAGAAGGATTAACCGTGACACCATTATGGAGGAGGTCGCTGGAAGCTCCGAACCCCAGGCAGAGCCTAAGGCCGAGGAACCAGAGAAAGTCTATGGGAAGCCTAGGGAAGAGGAGCCTGCGGACAAGGCTACCACCGTCAAGAAGAAGTTTAGGTATCAAATCCCGATCTTGACCTTGCCTGAGCTCGACGACACTATTAGCAAGTTACTAGGAACCATGGTGTCGGTGTCTTTTCAGACCATGCTGCAGGCTAGCCCTAGGTTGCTCAAGGGGCTCAGACAACTGTTGACTCGGAGGCGAGTAGAAATAGGCGACAACCCCGAATTACCAGAAGGGGAGAGGGAGGAGGAAGCTCCGCAAGAAGTGGCTAACCTTCTGAGGAGTCACGGGGACTTGGAGGATCTCGAAAGGGCCTTTGCAGACATTCATTTGAGCTTACCCGACCGAGAGGGCGGCGAAGTCATGAGATCACCACCCGGGACGAAGCTTAGCTTTCATACGCTACCCGTAGGGAAATTGAAAATCCAGATCGGGAGTCATCACACCGACGCATTAGTAGACGGGGGAGCAGAAATCACTCTCATAAGGAGAGATTTCGCAATGATCACGGGATGTACGGTAAACAAGGAAGTAACAGGGAGCATCCGGGGAGCTGGCGGGGAAATCCCGTTTGCTGGGTACGTCACGAAGTGTGCTGTGAAGGCAGGGGTCAGGGAATCGATCTGCTCGTTTCAGCGGATGACTGTAATGGAGGAAATGGACCACGACATAATCCTCGGGAGACCGTGGTGCGCGAACGTAGAGATGATAGGCATGCACTTGCACGATGGCTCGTACATGGTAGACATAGAGGACCCTGTGACCGGCCGGGGAGAGCTCCTTCGACTCCTTGGAACGGGAGGAGACCCCCCAAAGGGGAAATTGGCAACATGGTCGCCGTCGTTCGAGGATAGCACGCGAAAAGGAGCTTTCGCACGGATGGAGGGTATGAGAGAAAGGATAGAAATCATGATTGAGGAAGCATTCAACAAAAATGAGTGGATCAAGATGGGCCTGCCCAGAAGAAGAGGAGGCAGGAGGACGAAGTTCTAGGTGTTATGGTGGCGGAAAAGGAGTCAGAGGTCGAACTTGGTGCTAGCCTGCCCAAACGGAAAGAAGTACGCATAGACGTGCCGAAAATCGCACTCGAAATCCCGATCTATTGCAACTCATCAAGGCCCTCAGATACCACAAGGTAGGAGTGGATTCGGCAGCCTTGACCAAGTTCGAAAGAGAGGTGCAAAAGGGATATTGCCTGAATGGGAAACTAGTTAGTATTCAACCACGAGTCGTAGAGGCGGCGGGGGCAATTCCGACTGTTCATTTTTTAGGAGAAAGATCCCGGAAGGAAGTGTTCGAAAGTACAAGCCGGTAGGGAAGAAAGCAAAACCGGTCTCGATCCTGCTAGAGACGTCAAAGGAAGAGGCTATGGAGAAGGAGGAAGAGGTCCTTCGAGTGATCCGAGAAAAAAGGGCGACGGAGGGACATCGGATACCAGATAAGGTAGTCGACACAATGAAGATAGGGATAGACGGGTTCTTAACGGAGGAAGAAACCCGCCTGATAAAAAAGACCTGCCAGGAGTTTCACCCGGGATTTGCCTTTAGTGATCACCAGAAGGGACGACTGGATGCGAAGTTGATCCCTCCGGTCAGAATCCACACGGTAGAACATGAGTACTGGAATGATAAGGGATCATCCTACGAATTTGGGATAGCAGGAGAAGTAACAGACCTCCTCCGAGCGAAGATGAACTCCTTCGTTGCGGAGCCTACGGCATCGCCATACACAAATCGGTGGTTCGTCTTTCGGAAGCCTAACAAGACACTAAGGTGGATTCAGGACCTGCAGAAGTTGAATGCGGTAACCATCCGGGATGCTGACTCGCTACCTCAGGCTGACTTATTAGCAGAATCGCACGCCGGTCGGAGCATTTACTCCCTGATAGATCTGTACTCAGGGTACGACCAGCTTCCATTGGATGTTCGAGACAGACCATACACCGCTATGCACACCCCCGTAGGCCAGCTACGGATGCAAGTGATACCTATGTGATTCACAAACACGGTGGCCAAAGCGCAACGCAGGATGCTCGTTGTGGCCGGGGACATGTTCCCAAAAAAATGTGAACCTTACATCGATGACAATCCGATCAAAGGCGTGCAGGAGAAGGACGAGACGGAAGTCCATCCAGGGATCCGACGTTTTGTGTGGGATCACCTGCAGGACATCAAGGATATACTCCGACGGTTCTTAGTATACAACATTACGGCTAGTGGACCGAATAGTATCCTAGCAGTACCGGAGGTAACTATACTAGGATTTCGTTGCGGTGCTTACGGCAGAAAGCCGGATCCGGCAAAAACTGATAAGATATCACAATGGCCGACACCATTGCGCAAGACAACGGAGGTAAGGGCATTCCTAGGCGTAGTCGGCTTTTGGAGGATCTTCATTAAGAACGTTGCCAAGATTGCTGAGCCTATCCGGGCTATGATCAGGGAAGAAGGAACCATGGATTGGACGGAGAAACGAGAAGGAGTTGTCCAAAGGCTCAAGGACATATTGACATCAGAGACAGTCGCCCTGTCTGCGCCTTGTTTTAATGACGAAGTGGGACGACCCTTCATCCTAGAGACTGATGGAGGACCTTTGGCCGTAGGAGGTGTGTTGATTCAAAGGGATGAGGGAGGAAAAGAGAGGCCGATTAGGTTCGAAAGTAGAACCCTGAACTCCACAGAATGGCGGTACTCGCAATTCAAGAAAGAAGTCATAGCCATCCTGCATTGCCTTAAGACCTTCCAGGCCTACCTATTTGGGAGGCGGTTCATCTTAAGGATCGATCCGACGAATGTCGCAGGGCCTCTGAAGAAATACAGGCCTATAGATCCGACGGTAGGGAGATGGGTAGGATTCATCTGGCAGTTCGATTACAAGATCGAACGGATTGCTGAAATCCGCAACAAGGCAGATGGGCTGAGTCGGGTTTGCATCACTCCCGAAGGGATGGAGGATGCAGAACCCATAATTGCCTCCCTCGAATACGAAGGAGGGACTCTCGCGGTGGATAACGAAATGATGAGCGAGGGATGCACCTCGGGAGAACTATTGATCCAGACTTTGGAGAAGGGGGCACCTGCTGTAGTAGCAGAACTGACAGAAGGACCAGTCATTACTCGAGGACACAGAGAAGAAAAGAACTCATAGGGAGCGATAGTAGGACCGAAAGAGGAGCTAATAGCAATGGCGGTCGAAGGAGGCCGGGAAGCAGTGATGAGCTTAGTGGAATCTTGGGAAAGGAAAGAGTTGCAGTGCGTGGTAAATCAGATGCAGGAAGGAAAGGATGGGGGCAAGGAAGGAGAGGAGTTTTTCTATGTCCAATCCTACGAAGGACTCTTTCGGGAGATCGGTTTATTGTTGGTAGGAAACAAACAACCTACGGAAGTCAGTATTAAGGCGAGAGAAGAAGCCGAAAGGTACGTTCTAAGGGGCGGGCATTTGTTCCGAAGGGAAGGTGTTATGCCCAGAAGGGTTGTGTGCGGAAGATCTAGGTAAGTAGACGTTATCCAGGCAATGCACGGCGGGTTAGCTGGAGGTCATCGGCCGTCCAAAGGAACACTTGCAAAGATAACGTCGCTTTATTATTGGCCAGGCATGGTAGACATGGTCGCCATTTACTGCCAGACTTGCCTTATTTGCCAAGAACGAAGCTCAGTACGAGTCTTCGAGCCACTTAGACCAACGCGGGTGCTAGGGCCGGCACATCTGGTCCACCTCGACCTTGCGGTCATGCCTGTATCAACGGATGGGTACAGGTATATCCTGGATGCGCGAGACAAACTGAGCGGGTTCGTGGAGGCAATCGCCCTCAAGAAAAAGACAGGGAGAAGTGTGGCGGACTGGATGGAAGACTTCTACTTAAGGCATTCATTCGTCAGGAGGTTTATAGCAGACAATGAGACGGAATTTGTGAACCAAGAAGTATTGGGGATGCTTAAGAGACTCTGCGTTCCGATCAAACTCATCGAACCGTATCACCCTGAGGTCATTGCACCTGTGGAAAGGGGGCACCGAACCTTGAAGAACATGATTGCAAAGCTCGGAGCAGACCATATGGGGAACTGGCCTAGGTATCTTAAGCAGCTTGTCTTTGCAGATAATATGACTCCTAAAAGGACAACAGGATGTATCCCGGCAGAGCTTTGGTACGGAAGAGAGATCGACTTTCCTGTGGAAGCCTTGATACCTACCTGGAATAGGTTAGATGATGATCCGCAAATGACCACTGAAGAGTTAATCGAGGCAAGATGTCAACAAATCCTTAAGAATGAGGAGGTCGTGGAAGACATCGCCAGCCGGGTGCTGGACAGCAGAATGAGGGACAAAGCAAGGTGGGACCAGGTTAAGAATGTCAGAAGGGAGCCACTTCAGGTGGGAGAGATGGTATTGCTAAGGAACTCGACACTAGAAAGTACTTGGTCGAGACAGTTGGGAAGGAGGTTCAAAGGCCCCTACCGGGTCGCCAAGCGGGTGGGACTGAACACCTTTGAACTGGAAGATTTGGATGGAACTGGATTGAAAGGGCCCTTCCCGGGGCAACGACTGGTCAGGTTTCTAAGTCGGGACCCAGTGGAACAATGGCTTCAGGAGGCCGAAGATAAGGAAACAGAGGAGCCACAAGTTAAAGACTAACCACAACCTTGCCTACACTATGGTTTGTCTCTGACCATGTTCGTGGGACTGTCATTTTTTTGGGACTGGTGCTTTGGCTTGGACTGACTGAGGTTGAAAGGTAGCATGACTTGGGGGGTTGCAATATCTGGTTTGTGTGACAACGGGAAGGGATGTTTGGGGCATTGTACCATAGTTTTTTATGGGGAAAATATGGGGTCATCACAAACGATGCATTCGCATGTATAAAAAGGGCATGATGCGAGGGATACTGGGTGCATTTTGAGAATGTCTACTGGCCTAAGGGGGGGGAGGTGTAAGTGTATGAGGGACATTGCGGGTGTTGTTTTGTTATACAGGGCTTAGGAGTAAAACGAGAAAAAACAAAAATGGAATTCGGCAACGAGAACGACAGCGGGGCAATCAGCAGGCCTACCGGAGGGGAAGAAGCTGGACCAAGCCAAGGGAGGAGGACAACGAAGAGAAAATTGTACATTGGGCTCATGGGCGGGCCAGCGGTAGGCAGGGGTAGAAGGAAATGTTTGTGTAAGAAACCCTCATCCCTCCGCAATGGAGAAGGTATAGAAATATTATCTGACAGTGAGGGCGAAAAGGGAAGGGCAAATGTGGAAGAAGGAGGCAACACAGAAATGGGAGATAAGGCTCGGGTCTCTAACGAAGAAAGGGCCAATAGGGGCGAACGACGTGAGACTTGGCATGGGGAAAGCGAGGGGGGACAAGGTATGCGTGACGAACGTAAGGAGGACGAAGCGGTCACGGCAGTTGCAAGGGGTATGGAACGGGGACAGAGATCCCTTTTACCTACGATCCAAAGAACCTTGCTGGTGGGTATAGCCCCATACAGACTGAAGACGAGGGGGACGAGGAGGAGGATGTGCGAGAAGTCATAGAAATCAGCAGCGGGGATGAGAGGGATGAGATCTCAAGGTCTAGGGAAGAGGGGCGGCCTCCGATGTACCAGTCGGGCGATGGGGCTTTCAGGTGGGAGGACGAATTCGGGTCCACGCCCAGTCATTGGTTTCAGCAATGGACCAATGTAATCAGGCACAAATGGGTTATCAAGACTCGGGAACTCGCAAGGGCAGGGGTGGAAGCCACACCATTGGATTTTTTTAACGAGGCAGAGTTGCATAAAATTGTAAGGATGAAAAGAGAAATCGAGACTTACGACCTGGGGGTTAGGAAGCCTGCCAAGGAACGGGATGGACAAGGAACTGGGCAAGACTAGGCGCAAGGCAGCAATAGGAACTAGGTGTTGACCTAGCATTGAAAGGGATCGCTGCTTTTCTGTTTGCAGAGACATGAGAATGACGAGAACATGTATAATATGGGCAAGCTTGCTAAGGAGGAAGTGAAAAGAGGGTCAGCTAAGGATGTGTCACGCTAAAGTAGAAGATAGTTTTTTAGGCTACTTTTTGGATGAGCTACCTTAGGTACCTAAGACAAAGATATGGGATTTGGGATGAGACCAATTGGGAGAGGATGTATTGTGAAATTTGGATGGAATAAGGATTATGCTTTTGAGAGGGGAAAACCTTGAGTACGGATTGACGAGCAAACCATGGCATTGAATGATTGGTCGAGTACAAGAGAGGTTAGGGAACCTATGGGTTAAGGGGCGTGAAGAACACTCCTTCCCTAGGAGCCTAATCCAACTGAGTTGTGAATGAGACTGAGAATAGCCGAGACCTGAGAGATCAGGAAAAGTGAAAATGGAAGGGACGCTTTTGTCTTTTGTTATGGATGAACGACCGGGTGGGCTAGTGCTGCTTGGGGTCGGAAGCCCCGACTCGAGTGCTAGACGCTAAGTCGGATGTACGCATGGATGGTACATTACTGTGAGAAATGGAATGGATGATACATTACTGGGAGAAATAGAATGGATGGTATATTACTATGAGAAATGGAAGAGAGAGAACAGCACACAAAAAATGAGATGGCCACCTTCTAACCTCCAAGACAGAAATGGAATCCGTAACCTCGAGGCCCACCCCCTCGGGCACTAACATTGAGAATGAAAAGGAATGGTCCTAACCAGGCTGTTCGACTTGAGAATGGAAAAGAATGGCCCTAACCAGGCTGTTCGACTTGAGAATGGAAAGGAATGGCCCTAACCAGGCTGTTCGACTTGAGAATGAAAAAGAATGGTCCTAACCAGGCTGTTCAACTTGAGAATGGATAAGAACGACCCTAACCAGGTTGTTCGGGAATGGACCCTGACAAGGGTTATTCCTTTTGAAATAGGCACTGGGGTCCCCTGCATATTGGATTGAGAAAGGTTGATTGAGAATGAGCTGGAATGAGAGAGATGGAAAAAGTCGGTGGGTCGGTCATTGAAATAGCCAATGGGATGAATGAGAGAGATGAAAAAGGTCGGTGGGTCGGTCATTGAAATAGCCAATGGGATGAATGAG